TAAGAGATTATGGAGAGCACCTTCTCTAAGCATGGTATTATAAAATAAATCTGTGGCAGACCATGCTTTAAATAATAGAATTAAAGGCAGAAATCTTTAGTAGGAAAATCAGGCAGCGTGATACCTGCACTGAAGAGATTTGTTCATAGCCAATAATACTATCCATCTAATCCTCAGAAATATTTGCATGTTGCCTGGGAAGCATTCTCATTTTCAGAATGTCTTCATAATTTTCAGTATTTCTTAAGTCATCCAGCTTTTCTTCCAAATGACCAATGAGAAAAAAACAACCTGGCACCTAGCTAATGCACACCATTATTTTTCACTGTAAAAATAAAACCACATCTCCCTTCTTAGTTCACGAAGGCTGATAGCAAGGAGGCACACCTGAACTCTAGCAGGGAGAGACTGGGACAAGGCAAGAATTTTCATCAACAGGAAAATTTTCTGCCCTGCAACTCCAGCATTTTGTACTGTAAAACTGTCTTTGCAATGCTAAAAGCAAAGTGGAGCGGAGTCAAAAGTTAATTAGCTCAGCTGCAGAAGGTAACTGTATAAAAGGGGCTCTAGCCAGGCAGGTGGAAAGGGCCTAAGGCTTATTAGGTAAAAGTGTTTGATCTATTGGAATAATACAATAGAGTAAATAACTAAATTGCATATTAAAGAACAGGCATTATCTAACACTAAATACAAACTGAAATGAAATCTATCAGCAAGCAAAAGATGTAAATTTCATGTGTGTGTATGTATACCATCTGTGTGTACACACACACATATACATATGTATATGTATGGATGAATACACTCATATATGAGTTTCAATCAATAAATGGTTAAAAAAGCATGGTCATGGTTTTACAAACACAACACAGCAATAAAAGACTTCATTTTCCAATTGGCAATCCATTTACACTTGTTATCCTTGGCACACAAAAAAGTCATTTTACTGTTGCAGTGACATTTAAGTTTGCATTGAAAGTGTGTATGGAATGCAACAAATGTCTGGTGTTTCTATATCATCCTAGATTTTATAGCAGCAGATGAATTAAAGGGTTCATCAACTCAGACTTGAACAGCTTTATTTCTGAAGATAGCTTGAGGTTTTATTTATTTATTTTTATATTTGTGCTCTCCATAATTCAACTTATCCATTAATTTCTATTTGGCTCATTTTGTTGTCAAAATGCTGGCTACCTGGCTAACGTATATGTATCTTAATTTTAAAATTATAATGCTAACTTTTCAAATATATGAATTATGACATATATCAAAAAGCACATAGTAATAATGGCTTCAAATGAATTTCACTGATTGGAACTTTTTGATTATAAAAGCAGTGTCATTTCCTTCAAATTTAGTTCTTCCAGATTCACTAAAATGTATAATTAAAGCCCTGAATATTTAGTATTATTTTAATAAAATATATACATACATACACAAAGAGAGATGAAGAATTGACTAGGAAAAAATGATTAGTCATACAAACCAACCCTTGGTTGAGTAAAAAGAAATCACCATGCAACCATCAGCAACCAAATGTCAAAGGTCCTTAGAGGCTCAGAAAGGGGGTTTCCTTAACGTCCCTGCAGCAGTCACAGTTTCCAATGATCACTTTTGTGACTATGCAACTGGGCTTATATTACTAGCTGCAACATCACAAAAATGACACTGGCAACTGCTAATTAGCTGGCAAAATAAGAATTTGACCATTTTTAAAGTGAGCAGTATTAATAAATGCCATTGCACACAGCAAGCAATGATAGCATAATATATATTTTAAGCAAAGCCCTCACGTGTGATGCTAATTATCTTTTAGCTTAGCAGTGTCTCTTTAAAGTGTAAATGCACTCCCTCTGGGCTCAAGAAATATTTAATTACATACTATCAGTGCATGACTAACAAGCTGGTCCCGAGTTAAAAAGCTTAGTCTATTGTGCAAAATGAAATTAGGATTCTGCAGCCATTAAACTGACCAGTATTTTGAGAAGGAGCAGCTTCACCTTTCAAACACTGCATTCTGTCTGGACATTTTAAGCTTACTGAGGGGGGAAAAAACCCTTCCTTCCTTCATCAATATCTGAGAGCACAATATTTCAAACAGTGAAGAGCTTATAATCCTTTAATTCATCTATTTAACACAGTACAACCTATTCAACACAATAGTCTTTAGCAAGTAGGAACAAAAAAAGCACAAAGTAGTTGTTTTCACAATCCAACGGAATCTGCTTAATTAAAAATATATATAACAAAGAAATACATCTGGGGCAATTTTTTCTTGGTGATGAATTATGATTCTAGGGAATGGGCTGCCTATATTAAATGTCTCTATGTACAATATACTTAAAAATAAATATGACCAGGTTAAAGAGAAATCAAACCACATCAAAAATAGTGATGGGGTTGGGTTGCATTTTGTAAGACTAATTTAAGAACCTAATTCTATTATAAGGCATTATTTTTTTCCAGAGTGTAGAATAATTTAAAGCCTTTACTGTCATTGTACATCATGTATACAATGAAATTGGTTATAAGATATTAAAATTTTAAGATATAACTGTAAAACCAATTCTACTCAAGAAAGAAAATTAAGATTGATGAGAAATTAATATTAATATTCCTTAAAATTGCTTTTGGCACACAAAGCAGTATTTCATCTGTTTTGTCTTTTTATAAGGTAATAGAATTATAATTTAAAAACAAAACAGAACTCATCCCCAAACACTTGTGGATAATTTGTAATGAAAATAAAAAAAATCAATTTTACTAAAAGGATACACTTGATTGTCTGATAAGATGAATATCCACAAAACTTTTAATAGCTTACTTGCATTTTTTTTCCTTTTAAATCCATATTGATTTCTTCAAGTCACTCTTTTATTTCCTTCAAATTTTCATTACACATGGAAGAACCTTGCATAAGACTTGTGGATTTTATCCTTAGACACTGCAGTAAGAAGCAATTTTAGCCATACCATATCTTAGGACTAGCATTCTGCTTATAGATAAGTACTGACTATTAGTTGGCAAATGTCTGTTGACTGGAAAATGAATACATGGAAAACAGCAGCAGAAGATAGCTGCTGTAATACAAGAAATGTACAGCACAATGACTGTGAATTGAATCCAAATTATTCATCAAGCTTATATATTATCTATTTCAAATGAGAAATTGAAAAATTTCTCAAGATTTTGATTTTGGGCTCTCAAGTCACTATGGATTCTTAGACCCCCACATGGACCTTCTCTGTGATGATCTTAAGACTGCTCATTGATTTAAATAATTAAATTAATGTTATGTGGATGAAGTACTATGTCTTGTGTATATGTAACCTTTATCAATAATAGAAAAGTCTTTGAGAGAACATTTATAAACCATCTAGATTTTATTAATCACTATGTATTTTGATTTACATCATAATGTTTACAAAGTGCTAATTCAACATGCTATGTATTTATTTTAATTCTAACAACATTATTTGGAGAAATTTCAATATAATATATTGAAACTTGCACATTTCAATATAAGGTACTAAAAACTGTGTTTTTCAATGAACCATTATGGGATTTTAATGAATTTGACTAGATAACATTTCAGTGAACCTTAGAACTGATTCCTAGTGGAAGGAGAGGCTTAGATACAGATAAGAGGTTCAGAAATTATTTAAAATATTGAGATATAAAGAAAGAAATACTAATCCATTGTCCCAAACTATTTTTACAATCACTTTAAAATAAATGAAAAAGAATTTAAATGTCATTAAAATAACCAACAAAACATGAGTGGGAAACACTATTACATGTGGGTGAATGTAGTTAATGATATGTCTATGCATTACTAAGAGCTTGATGCTCAGATCAGTACAAACAAGAGCTTTGAACCTGTCTTGGGAGCTGATAAAGAGGTTAAATTGGGTAGGCTTGTATAGAAAGAATCTCTGTATAGCGTTTTTTCTAATCTATGGAAATTCAGCCTGGAAGTATAGAACTGGGTGATGCTTAAGTATTCACCTGTCAATCTGCTTCAAAATAAAAAACTTTTGCATCTCCATTAGGCCCAGTCATCTTAGCTGTGCTTTGATTATTCTAGATACAAGAAAGTATATTAGAGTTGAAGTTGCTGAATCCCTAGAAAAATAGAACAATATAACATTGCCATATGAAAAATGAGTTTTACCTCGAGACAAATATAGTAGCTTCGGTGTAAATTGTCATGACATACATAGATATCTCCACCTAATATGCTTGTTGTATATGCCTATTTAAAGAAAAAAAACACCTTGTACTTACATGGAACTGTTGATTTAGTTTTTCTGCAAGTGCATTAATTATGATGTTAAAAGTCCCAATTAGCAGTTTAATTATTTATACTGGGAATGTTGGCTATTTATATCTACAGCAATGTTTCTCAAGCTTGACAATTTGAAGATGTCCGGACTTCAACTCCCAGAATTCCCCAGCCAGCTTGGTTGGCTGGGGAATTATAAGAGTTGAAGCCAATACATCTTCAAGTTGTCACAGTTGAAAAACATTGGTCTACAGCAGGGGTGTCAAACTTGTGATGTCACATGACATATGATATTTTCCTTCATTAAAATGGGGGTGGGCATGGCCAGTGCATGATGCATCCGGCCAGTAGGCCACAGGTTTGACATCCCTGGTCTACAGTATTTATAACTCAACTATCAACAGTTTTTAGAAGCAGTTGACATTCAAAATATTGGCTGACTGGTTTTAGGACAGTGATAGTAAATGGATCATTCTCTATGCCACATTTTATTATGTGAGACACTAGAAAATAGCATATTTTGACCAAGGAGGAGGAACAATATATTAAAATTCTCTAGTCACAATACATTTGTGCTCTATGTAACAAGTTAAGTCCACGACAGAATTGTATCTGCCTCATCACCAACTATAAATAGCTTAAATTATTTTCAGGCAGTACACAATTCTTATAACCATTCTTTATTTTGGGAATTAAATAATTATTTCTACGGTACCTGCGAAAATCCAGAAGAGATCTTGTAGATGCAGGAACTTGTTGATCATGCCAGGTAAGGTAATGGAACTGGGTTACTGTCCTAGTCTCATTGCTTTGAAGATTTTTCAAGTAAAAACTTCTTACAAGGAAATCTTCACACCAGATGTGTTCAGAGACCAGATTTACCTATTATAACATTAAAAAGTACAAAACTGAGTCAACTGTAGAATATAACTAAAATATAAACATTTAAGTGAACTTAATAGGGGCATGACTGAAAATGTTTCAAGTCAAAATGAAGTACACTGTACTTCACTTAAGGGTTTTAATGGGAATTAAAGTAAAAAATATTTTTGATTATTTGCTCTGATAAAAATAATATATCTTTTGCTAAATACACTTACTATATTGTATATGGTGATTGCTGAAAAAGTTAAATAGTAGGTATTGAAGAGTTACGGCTTCCCTTTTTATGGCAATATATGTAACATCACAATCTTTCCTACAAATTATGAATCTAGTTGTTCTAAACAGAAAATGTATAGGATGTTGGAGAGAACGTTAGGCTTACAAATAGAAATATATTTCCTATTTAACTCATTAAGGAGTTTAGGAAATCTAGCTTCTCTTAATTTATTCTATCCCATCTGAAATAAATATTAAAATGTTAAAAGAGATGTTAAATATAGTCTTCCACCCCCCCTCCCCAAACAAATGAATCAACTAAACTATTTGACTTAAATAAAATGTAAAACTATATGATAAACTTTTTAAAATAAGATACATAGATACATTATTTGCTCTTGGAAAAGTAATAAGGCTCAAGATATTTGCCAAACAGCCTCTTATAATTAAAAAAAAGTTTGTATTTCAACCACAAACATTTGTGCTGCAATAATGCTCAATTCTAAAGCAAATCTTTGTAGATGTAAGAGAGCATAGCTTAACTTGCAACACCTTAAAAAATAGAATAAATAATGGAAAGAACCAGTGGTCAAACTTAGCATCACAGTTTAGGTATTCCTAATATAAAATTTCATATGTCCTTGCAAAAATGAATATTACTGTATTTCAAAATACTACTGAGGCACTGTCATGATTTATACCACATGTAAAAAAAGTTAAGCAGAAACTAGTTTCTGTTAACTTTCTTAAATCCATATACTGTAACGTAAACACAGTATCTAAAATTGGAGACAGTACAGCGAGTTCTTGTTTAACAGTGATAATTGGGACTGGAATTCCCATTACTAAGTGATGCTGCTGTAAATTGAAATGTTATGGGCCTGCATTGCTTAGTGACGGCAATCATGGCAGTTTCTGTTGCTGTTGTTAAGCAAGTTTTGCAGGATATTAAACAAGGACCTTCTTGTAACTTCCTACCGGCTCTCAACAACCAAAATCAGTAGGGAAGCCAGTCAGAAGATGCAAGTCCCAGGCAGTTTGCAAGCAGGTCTGTAAATAGGTAAGCAGCTGCTATGGTTAAAATAGGGTGCATGCGAGTCCAGTGAGGTGTGACTGCAATGAAGCTTTGGACGGCTGTTGTGGGGGTGCTCAAGGGTGCCCTATTGTCAGGTGTGACGTCAGCACAGCAAGGCTTGAAATGGTATGGTCAGGTGCAGGAGTGCCCAAGGAGCTGCTGCAGAAAGATATGAATGGAGCAAGGTTTGAGGCCACTGCTGTTAGGTGCAGGAGACTTACCAAAGTGACTGTGATTTTTCCTGCCCCATTGATTTTGCTTGTGGGAAGCTGGCAAGCAAAGTCACAAATGACAATCACATGATTGTGGGATGCTGCAATTGTCATAAGTAACGCCCAGATCACAATTATGTAAGTATGGAAATGCTGGGATTACCACAACTTTAAGGATCAATTGTGAGTACCACTCCTTCAGTCCTGTTGTAACTTTAAAATCACATTGCATGAATCATTGCTAATTGTGGATTATCAGTAAGGGAATCATCCTCATATAAGACACAAAGAGAATTTGTTTTAAGGGTACATTTGAATGTATTAATTCTGTTTATGACAATCTTCCTTATCTAATAAAGAAATAAAGCTGAGAGGAATAGAAAAATGGCCTAAATTGTAAACCAACACTCCCTGAAAACATTATAAAGGTAGAAATAGAAAAAAAAAGTATTATCCTCAAGACAAATTCCTCTTCCCCCCTCCCCTGAAATTTTGGCAATATAAGACCTAATAGTGGGTTTGCTTCTTCCTCATATGCAAAGATAATGCTAGCTCAGGCAGACAGGAGTAAGAGGAAATACTGCTGTATTCAATAGTTAGGACAACTTGACTTATATATGTAAAATTACTAGAATTTTCCCATTAATTATCCAGCATTCTTTGCAACATAATCACAGAAAATAAGAACCTTCCGTGGTATGTTATATATAATAGTAATAATATGTTATATAGAGAACAAAATCTGCAGGTGATCAAATCAACCTTATATTGCAAACAGTGGTTCAAGCAAAGGTTTTTTTTAAATGTAAAAAAAGAAATCTTTTATCATTAGTTTATAATTAATTATAAACTGAGACAATGGTCATGAAAAATAGGCTGCACAACCCAGCCTTCCTTGCTGCCTAGGAGTGATGTATAGATCAACAAACTTGGTGATTATAAAGCTGCTTATTCCTTTAGAAATTATACTCATCCCAATCTAGCATCAAAACTAGACAGTATTTTTAGCTCATGGTTACAAATCTTGGCAGCAAAAATTTGCTCCAATTTGCTTTGCAAAGAAAGTTGCTGTGATTACATTAAAGTAATATCTTGAAACCCCATCCCCTCTCTAGCCTTCTTTCTCTCCCTCCCTCTGTATATAAATAAACAAGTTTAACTTAAACAAATAATTTAATTATCAAAAGAATAGAAATTTTTGAAACGTTGTGGAATTTATAGTAACTGTTAAATGTTTATAAGCACTATACTATTATAAATATTAATTCCCTTCTTATTTGTATTTTAAAGTCTTGGAAAGAAAAAGCAAGCTTAAAAAATCTTTTGTACATTTATTTAAAATTGGAACAAAACTGTTTTTCAGCTGAACAAACTATCAAATATTTTCAATGAAATTAAAATGATTAAAAATCATGCATTTTTTGAATGTTATGATAATCTTTAGTTCAGTTTCATATTTTCCTCTATACAAAACCACATGCTTACTGTCAGATTTACAAGCAAATATTTTCTTTAAATACCTCATAGATATGGTAGAGATTTGACCCTTCATCTGGCCAATAGTGGTAGCACTGTTTGAGTCCATTTTCAGTGAGAGGGGTCAGCATTACAATAACCACACAACCATTCTCCCAGACCATCTGCAGACAATGAAAGATACCATGGTTACACTTTGAGTGCCTAATTACTGCATGCCGTGTGTAATTACTACACTCAGAAACACAATTGAAATTTATTCCATTCACAGGAAATGTATTTCATTTTCATTATACATTTTTCTATGCAGCTGCTTTCAAATAATTGAATAAATGGAATCATATCTTGCATGTTCACATGAAATATTAAAGAATGTCCAAAGAATTTCTATAAATATTTAGATATATTTGTATAAATATTATATGTATGTATGTATGTATGTATGTAGTGTAATGTAAATTTTATATATTTCCTCAAAATACATAGCTACTACCAATACCAAAATTAGATAAATTTCAACTATTTAATTATTCTGCTAAATTAAAGTGAAAAAAGGGCAAAGATTTCCAAGATATTATTTAAAAAGATATTAAAACAAGGCAAGACAGTATTTCCAGATAGCTGTTGAACAAAAATCCTCCACTGAATTCTTAAGAATCTGCGTAATCATTCATATCTGCATTATTATGCCAGACTTTGATGCTATATTTGTATGCAGTTTTGGTTGCATTTTTATTAGCATATAAAATTACCTCATGAAAAGGAAACTGATCTTTGTGCAAAGGGTCAAATTTATTCACAGAAATGTTTATAAGCAATTGCACTGAGATGTAAATAGAATAAACAACAAAAACAGAGTGTATGGATAAACAGCATAAAGAGGTTACATTCAATTCAAAGATTTCTTTTTTTTTGTTCCATACAGATTTATATTTGTCTTAATTTCATTTGATTTTTATTACATTTTCAAACAAATATTTTGCTTAAAATACTTGACAGCATTAAGCAAAGGCAAAACATACAAATCTAGCAATTCTTGAAATTAATACTTTTTTTCTTTTTTGAAACATATCTGCCTACATTTAACTCTGCAACAGATTTTCAAAATTTTGTTGAAATATTTGACTGTGCTTACATAACAGACTAACCCAGTCCCAGTCACACATTAATCATAAAAGGTAAAGGTTCCTCTCACACATATATGCTAGTCATTCCCAACTCTAGGGGGCGGTGCTCATCTTTGTTTCAAGGCCAAAGAGCCAGTGCTGTCCGAAGATGTCTCCATGGTCATGTGGCTGGCATGACTAAATGCCAAAGGCACACGGAACACTGTTACCTTCCCACTTGCATTTTTATATGCTTTCGAATTGCTAGGTTGGCAGAAGCTGGGACAAGTAAAGGGAGCTCACTCCGTTACACAGCACTAGGGAACCACCGAACTGCCAAACTTTCTGATCAACAAGCTCAGTTTCTTAGCTACTTAGCCACCGTGTCCCCATCACAATAATAATAGATCTATACAATTCTTTAACCTTAATCATAGTTCCATCCATTGAATACGGCAGCACGCAATCCCAAGGACATCTTTGGGGACATATAGTTTGTCCCAGTTCCATCAGTCCCAGAAATCCTTGCATCAGGAAGGAATGGACTTAGCTTTATTTTGTGATGACATCTTCCCATCCACAATATGTATGTGTATCAAAATAAGCATAATGGTCATGGCAATATGACCATACCTTACTCTTGCTTGAACTATTACCATGGTGAACGGCACAGGACAATAAAACACAAGGACAAATAGACTGAAAAACAGCTTCTATCCCAGAGCAGTAACTATACTGAAGTCTACTATATAGTGTAATATTAATGCAATACCAGAGGATTTCAATTCAATTGTATAGAATGTGAAAAATGTGTCTTTTTGTTTTATTTTTTATGTATAATATACACTGAAGATGGCATTTAATTTTGTTGTATGAGGTGCAATGACAATAAAATAAACTATTTTGTACACATTGATGTTGTTCACAGATATAAGGGATAGAATCCTTATAAGGATACTCTGAGTACCATATTTCCTGTTTTGAATGTCTTCCTGATGCAGATATGGCTGCTTCTTTCTCCTTTGCCAGGGACGCAGCAGCGAGTGTGGCTTAGGCAACACAACATATCAATATTTCAGAAGAGCTTCTTCTGGTTGCTGGGGTTCTTTGCTATGAGTTTCACAATGGAGCATTGGGTTTTCTTAACAGTTCATCTCTTTTCTTTACAGATATGAGGTATGGATTTAACTATTACCCACATTCTAGAATTTAGGATTCATACAAACCAGGTGATTGGGAACATAATTGCCCAAACACAAATTTAGATTAAGCTCATTTCACCCCCACTTGCTTTAATGCATTCACACATTTCTCCATAATTAAGACCTGCGTATGGGACAGAAGCAACATTGGTTATGCTGTTGGTTGATGACTTGAGCTCTTAATGGTCACTGACCATGGTATCATTCTGGATTGGCTCTGAGGAGCCAATATTACATCATGCTGATTCTCTTCTCCTCAGTTCAGTTATAACCAGTGGTAATTGGAGGAGAGCGATCACATTCTTAGCCCCTATTTCGTGGGATCCTGCAGGATTGGGGGTTCTTTCCTATCCTATTCAACATCTACATGAAACCACTGGATGGTATCATCAATTATTATGGAGTGAGAGGTCATTGATATGCTGCTGACATTCAACTATACCTTGCTGCCCCTGCCTACAGAATAAGTGATGCTGTTGACATCACATCCTGGAGACCCTGGGGACCTAGAAGGGGAGCAAAAAGGCTTCAGCTGGACACTGACAAAACTAAATGGCTCTGGCATTTGGGACCATTCAGTTCATGGATTATGCCATATTTGGTACTGGACAGACTTGCATTTTCCCAAACAAACCCAATGTGTGATCTGGGATCCTCTAAACTGGAACAGGTAGCAATCATGGCTATGAAGCCTTTCGTACAGTATTGTTTTGTGTGCCATTTGCACTTGTTCCTGTACTGGGAGGCTCTGCTCACAGTCACTCATGGCCTGGTCATTTCCTGTACAGTAGTATATCTACTGCAATATGGTCTACAAGAAACTTGCCCTTGAAGAATATCAGAAAGCTTCAGCTGGCGCCAAATACAGTACGACAGACAGTTATGTGTGCCCCTAAAATGGCTCCTGTTACAAGTCCAATTCAAAATACTTTACCTCTGCCTCCATGGCATGGTGCCAAGTTATCTGAAAGACCACCTCCATTCATTATATCTACCCATCCCATCAGATCTAGCTTAAGAAGGATGCTATGGGTCCTATCTAGAAATCTGGTGGGAAACAGAAGATGGGCCTTTTCTGCCTGCACTGGGCAACATCTTCCTGATGTGCAATTGTCCCCATCTTTGATATCCTTCTGGAAGTCTTTCAAAATACGACTGTGTCAGCAGTATTGGTGATCTCAAGGAAAACATAATCCAATCAAGATGGCGCCATTGTTTTAGCACCTATTTTTCTACTATCTTGCTGTTAATACAGCTGATTTCTTTTTAATTGTTTTAATATGACAAATGAGTATGTTACATGTTCAGCAGCAAATACTGTATGAGCTTTCTGTCTTCATAACCAATTGCACAAAAATGGAACACTAAACATTTCAAAAACTATACCCAGCTTCATTAATTTACACACTTGAAAGAATAATCTATACACCTTACTTTTAAGCTATTAGTACTAACCACATGTACATACAAAAGATTGGACAGAGAAGTTGGTTTTTCCATCATGTCACAATTTAATATGTCTTTGGAAAATACAAAAGCTCAATGAAGCCATTACAAAAATGAGGGAAACACTGTTTTTATGAGTGCAATAAAAGCACAATGATCTAGGTCATAAACTAATCATTGAGTAGTTGCTTGTGTCACCCAAGTGTAACATTATGCAAGCCTACTTATTCACAGAAAGGAAAAGGAATTATTACAGTTTGGCAACCCTTCTTATTGGCTAAAATATATATATATATATATATATATATATATATATATATATATATATATATATATATATATATATATATATATATATATATATATATATATATATATATATATATATATATCATTATAGAAGCTGCCTCAAATCTCTTAAGATTTCCTTTGAGCATAAATCAAAATGAAGTTAATTTAAACAACAATTTTGAAATTACCCTGGAGTATAATATTTCTTATATGTCATTTTATGAAGCAGCTGACACACAAAGTTAATAATATTGTGAATTCCTAGACTTCCATTACAACTATATGTTAACACTTTGTGCCTATAATTTTTCTTTGCTTAAAACAGAAGAATCTCTTAGCCTACTTCCTTGAGCTATTATTTGAGTAATACAACTTTTCCAGCTTTATGTATTTCTTTCATTGTTACAAATAACCTCATTCAACTCTTTGTTGGCCAATTTAGAGGGTTTATTTATTACATTTATAATTTAACTGTCTGGAGAGGTAAAATAAGGAGAATTTTTTTGGGGGTGGGGTGATTACATTATCTGAAGCATTCTAACATTAATTCATTGTTTTAGGGCAAGAACATGAAATGTTATGCTAAAAATCTTATCCATCACGCTCAGTATTTTTCTTTCTTTTAGCCCTTAAAAAATTAATCTAAACCAGAAACAAGTATACCTTTGGGATTATTTGTCTGAAAACGGCATTGTATCTTGATGTCCCTCTATATGTGGGGGGAGGGGAACTACCCATTTTAGAATGACACAATGTGGGGATTGCTTTTTTGACTCTGATGTAGGACATTTAATGGAACCTTCAATTTAATTTGGTCACAGTGATATGAAGATGAAAAGAGTACATTGGCTTCCTCAACAGATCTTAACAGGCTTAGAGCCCAAAAGTTGACTCCAGATATATGTGAAGTTCTCCACTGAGTTCAAAATCTGAGTCATCTTAAATACAACTATTGCCAACAATTACCCCAAAAAGAGAGCAATATTACCTGGTATTTGTGATTTGTATGCCAAAGCTTTTGTTTTATCACCACCCATTTACTGCTTTAAATTGTTAAAGTAATGTAAGCAAGTAGTGATGTTGCAAAATTATTATTTAATTTGCCTATGATTTTTCGAA